ATGACTTCCTGCCCCCTGACACCGTGTTTCTGGGAAATAAAGTCAGGCAGATCTCTGTGTACATGGAGGGTCCACAAGGGTCACAATGGACTACTTCAGGCATAATCCAAAAAGAAGAAAAGTGAAGTGCCAAACTGTACTTTGAGAGTCTGAAAAATATTTATTTCCTCACATGATGAAATCCAACACGTTTCAGGCACCTTCAGATGGTACTTCATCAGGGCTTTATGGAAGAGAAGGAGTAAAAAACTGTTAATGAAAACAACATCCTTTAGCTAGTATTACATGTGGAAATATACCCACCGGCCACTTTATTAGGTACAAATGTTCATTTGCTTGGTAACACGAATTGCTAATCAGCCAATCACATGGCAGCAACTCAATGTATTTAGGCATCTAGATATGGTGAAGACAACTTGCAGAAGTTCAAACTGAGCATCAGAATGGGGAAGAAAGGTGATTTACGTGACTTTGAACATGGTATGGTTGTTAGTGCCAGACGGGCTGGTCTCTGTATTCTACTGAGATTTTCACGCACCACCATCTCTAGGGTTTACAGAGAATGGTCCAAAAAAGAGAAAATATCCAGTGAGCAGCAGTTGCATGGGGGAAAATGCTTTGTTGATGTCAGAGGTCAAATGGGCAGACTGGTTCGAGATGATAGAAAGGCAACAGTAATGCATGTCAGTTTCGACCAAAATCTCAGGAATGTTTCCAACACCTTGTTGAATCTATGCCACGAAGAATTAAGGCAGTTCTGAAGGCAAAAGGGGGTCCAACCCGGTACTGGCAAGATATACCTAATATAGTAGCCAGTGAAGTGTAGATTAAATATGCCAGAATGTAGCAGCAGTTCAATAGTCTAGCCGTAATAACCTTTTTGTCTGGTGTTGAGTTGACACAAAGTACTATACACACTTTCAACACTTGATCTGATTACACATCCGTTGAAATGTACCTAAACTTAATCTATGATCTGTGTGGAATTATTTTATGTCTGTTTGTGTATGGTGCTTCCTTATGACATCTTTCACAGACAATGCGGGATTCTTGCATAACTATTGCTCCAAGTTATTTGTGGTTTCATGCTTGGTTTCAGCACAATAGAACACCTTTAAGACAGAATATCTATATAATATATTTGTCATTTTATTTCCACCAATGTGTCATTTGTAGGTACTTTTTTAAGTTTTTATTTTATTCTTTTCTTTCCGTGCTTTACATCAACACTTGACAGAGTGCACAATGCCAATTACAGAGGTAATAGAAAGTACTGATACACATTTTCCATAAAAGTAAGAACAGCAATCATTGGGTTTATAAGTAAACAGACCTGAAGAACAATTTATTATCCATTCCACTTTAAGACCAGGCCTTTTTCTGACACTTTTTGTAGGTAAAAATCAGTATTTTTTGCCAAAAGATTACTTAGAACTCCCAAACAATAGTTATTTTTTTTTTTTTTTGCAGAGACCCTAGAGAACAAAATGGTGAGTTTTGCTATTTTTTTTATGTCACACAGTTTTTGCGCAGCGGTTTTTAGAACACAAATTTTGGGGGAAAAATACATTTTAATACATTTTAATGCATACATACACAAGATAATACCCATGTTTTTGTAAAATATAAAGATGAGATGGTGTTATGCCAAGCAAATGAATACCCAACATGTCAGGGTGCCCATGCTGACCTGTGTCCACAGTGAAAAATGCCTAAAATGGGCATGTGAACATCAGAACTGGACCATGGAGAAACAGAAGAAGGTGGCCTGGTCTGATGAATTCAAGAATGGTTTGAGGAATACAACAAGTTCACGGTGTTGATTTGTACTCCAAATTCTGTAGCTCTCAGCTCAATTGAGCATCTTTGGGATGTGCTGGTAAAACAAGTCTGATCCATGAAGGCGCCCCCTTGTATCTTACAGGACTTAAAGGGTCAACTGTCAGATACCACAGCCTACCTTCAGAGGTCTTTTGGAGTACATGCCTCAACGGGTTATGGTGGGTTTTCATATTGTGATGGCTGATCACAGCTTCCTCTTTGTGATGAGACACCTAGCTAACAGGTGGGAAGCCTAACTTTCATCATTCACTGCGTGCGCTGCTATGGGGACATTGAGCTCCTGCATACAGTTGGGACTTTTTTCTAACAGGGGGACATAGAGCTCCTAAAAGAAGATGGAATTTCCGCTACTGATCCATTAAGGACTGACATTATTCTGGAGGGGCTACAGTCTAGGATCCATTTTTGCTGCAAGTTGTAAATAGAAGATTTGTCCTCTAAATTGTTGTTGAATTCACTTTGGGCACTCCAGAACCCCTTATTCCTATGCAAGTTATATTGCCCCAATAAAATATTAAAAACAAGAACAAGGGCTGGTTTTCTGAGTACGTATGCCTGCTGAAAATACGTGTTACCTGGCTCTGCAGACAAAGGGGGACCCAAAATGCAGCAGCTCCTTAGGGGGTAGTGCTAGAATTGTGAAGACTGAGATTGAGCTCAGCAGTCACTTTTGTAGCAGTTGTTTTCAAATTCCGGGTCACAATCCAGCTCAATGTTCTTTTTTCTCTTTCGGTCAGTTGACCATGTCAACTGCGCTTATGCTTATCAGACAACGTTATCCTCGAAACTGTATATGCCATCATAACCTTTGATGTTGTACCTTCCGACATGGCAAATAAATTGGCAATTTCAGTCACAGAAGAACCAGCTAAGTGAGCACCAACAATTTGCCCTCTTTGAAGCTCAGTAAGCTCTGACATGACTCCATATTACTAGCAGCACACACAGTGAATGACAAACGTAAGGCTTCCCACATGTTAGCTAGGTGTCTCATCACACAGCGAAAGCAAAAAAATGTTACATCACTTCCACTCTCAACGCAAAACATGTGGTTACTTTCACACCTACAAATCATGTAGTGTTTCCATTTTTTGTTCAATCCCTGTGCAATATATATATATATATTTATTTATTTATTTCTTTTTTGCATTTTGTCTGTGTTGCTCATGCGCATAGATTACTACCTTTATCTGTTGGTCCTGTCCACCCTCCATAAAAACTTATATAAGCATTCAACTTATACAGTATGTTGGCTGCCAATATAGGTGAAAGAAACAATAAAGACAACTGCCATATACGTACTGGAAGTTATGGCTAGCTGGAGGTCGGGGTCAGTAAGGCACAGCACAGCCATCCAGAGCAGTGTGATTACAGTAAAGCCCACACACATCGCCCCCAGTAAAACACTCCCAGCACACAGTTAACCATTGATCGCCCCTCATGTTAACCCCTTCCTGCCCAGTGCCCTTAGTACAGTGTCAGTGCATAATTAAGCCCTGATCACTGTATTGGTGTCACTGGGAATGTCAGTGACACCAAGTCAGTTCCCCCCCAGTGTCAGAATGCCCACCACAGTCCCGCAGTCCTGCTATAAGTCGCTGATTGCTGCCATTAATAGTAAAAATAAAATATTCCAGTATCTATACCGCCATTTGTAAACGCTGTAACTTTCACGTAAACCAATTAATTTACATGTATTGGGATTTTTTTAGCAAAGACATAGAGCAGAATACATTTTGACCAAAATTTATGATGAAATTAGATTTTTTTACATTTTTTTTATTAGACAGAGCCATACAAAGCAGTGTGCAGGAGCTGACAGGGAAGAGATCTGTATTGTTGGCATGGGTATGGGGCGCGCGTGGCTCCTATATATACGTGATTTTACGCACCCCAGTATTTCTGCTCAAGGATGGAGGGGAAGCGGTTAGCACAATTTCACCAAAAAAACGCTTCTCAGAGGTGCTTTTGAGGTGCTTTTCAGACGCCTTTTCAGGTGTTTTGCATTGATTTCAATAGGAGGAGGCGTTTATGGGGCGTTTTTTTTTACCTGAATCAAAGATGCTGCAAGCAGGAGTTTTACACCGCAACAGAAGCGCAACACCCCAGTGTGAAAACATACATAGACATACATAGAGAAGTATTTTTTGAGCTTTTTCAGGCTTTTTTTTAATGCAAAAGAGCTTCAAAAACTCCTCAGTGTGAAAGTAGCCTTAAAGCGGAGCTCCACCCAAAAGGGGAAGTTCCGCTTTAACCGCTTGCCGCCCTGCCACTGTGTATATACGTGTGCAGGGCGGCAGTGGAGCGCAAAAGCACGTTTTAAAACGTGCTCCGCGCTCCCGACACATTCGCGGGTAGGGGGTGCGCGCGCGCGCGCTCCCGCCGACCCGCGGGTGATACGATTCGATCCAGGAGGGATCAATCATTAGATTTCAGCCAGTGATTTCTGGCTGAAATCACATGATCGGTCCTTGTCCTATCCTGTCCTGTGTTGATATTTACACAGGGCAGGATATGATGTCATTTTTCTCTGCCTGGACACATTCCGTTCCAGACAGAGAAGAAGACATCCAAAAAGTGAGTACACAAGCACTACACTACAGTTAGAACACTCTAGGACACATTTAACCCCCTGATCGCCCCCCCCCCCAGTTAACCCCTTCACTGCCCTGTCACCAGTGTCACTGATCAGTGAAGCGATTTTTACTGATCAGTGTCGCTGGCGACTTCCGATAGAGTTAGCGCCCCTCCCAGATAGAGCCAGTTTGCCCGCTAATACACCAATAGTCCCATCTAACCCCTTGATCGCCCCCCCCAGTTAACCCCTTCACTGCCCTGTCACCAGTGTCACAGATCAGTGAACCAATCTTTACTGATCACTGTATCAGTGTCGCTGGCGACTTCCGATAGTGTTAGCGCCCCTTCAGATAGCGCCAGATTGCCCGCCAGTACACCAGTAATCCCGTTTAACCCCTTGATCCCCCCCCCAGTTAACCCCTTCACTGCCCTGTCACCAGTGTCACTGATCAGTGAACCATTTTTACTGATCACTGTATCAGTGTCGCTGGCGACTTCCGATAGTGTTAGTGCCCCTCCCAGATAGCGCCAGTTTGCCCGCTAGTACACCAGTAATCCCATTTAACCCCTTAATCTCCCCCCTCCAGTTAACCCCTTCACTGCCTGTCACCAGTGTCACTGTCAGGAATGGACTGGCCTTATAAGCTGCAGTACCAGGGCTGGCCAGCGGGTGCTCCCAGCAATCAGAGACTCAACCTTGCAGCCAGTCAAACACCTGGAACTAATTATACTGGTGTATTTAAGGGACATTCAGACCTACAGACTCTGCCTTGGTGTTGTGTTTCTCCTGGGCCCTGTTCCCTGTTCCCTGTTCCCTGTTCCCTGTTCCCTGTTCCCTGTTCCTGTCTCTGTCTGATTCTCTGCTGACCCTGCTCTGATCCCTGCTTGTCTGACCATTCTCCTGCTCCTGATCCCTGGCTTGTCTGACCATTCTCCTCTGCCTGACCCTCTGTACCACGCTGCCCGCTACCTGCTGAACCTGGCTTGTGACCCCGACCATTCTCCGCTTGCTCCCCCTGTACCTACCTGCCCGATTGATATTGACCCGGCCTGCCTGACGACGCTTGCATTGTATGTACTGTTATCTGTGGGTGGTTTGGTTTGGTTTGTTTGCACTGCGTTTATGTTTTAGTATTGCACTGCGTTTATGTTTGTATTGTTAGTGTTAATAAATTACATTGTTTATAACATATCTGAAGTCTGCGTTTCCCTGCATCAGTCACACACCTCTGGTCACACCCGGGATCCCTGACATTACACCAAGGCCAATCCTGACCAGAAGTGGCTGCACAGGGAAGCCATCTTGGCTTGTTGATGGGAAGGATGGATCTTGATGAGGTTGTGTATTTATCTCTGCTAGTGTTTGATGACAGAGAATATGCTTATCAAACTCTGAAGGAGTATCCCCGGGATCAACTGCTAGAATGTATACGGCTCGCTCATCTTCTAGTAGATCAGGGCACAGAATTCTCTGAGGTGCAGCCATTGATTCAGATTTGTGCGGAGTTGGTTTCATCCTGAGTACCCCTGAATGCAGGGATGAATTTTTGCCGCCATTTAGTACCGACCAGGTAGAGTCCCTGGTTGAGAGGTTATTAGAGGATGATGTGGATTTGGCTTCTCTTGGAGCATTATGCCTGCAAGTTCACATACATGGTACAAAGAGATTGTAAAATAAAAAAAAAAAAAAAATAAACGCAGTGCAGTCTTTGGTCAGACAGGCTTTGTGTAAGCTCAGCATTTGTTCAAACCCATTACTGCAGACATTGGACAGATTTGTTGCACCCAGCCATCAGTCAGCCTACAAAAACCCAGTCCCCTGCTTTCTAATCTATTTCCTCAAAGCTCTATTCCTGCATTCCCAACAGCAGTCACTCCTGCCCTGCTATCTACCGCATGTCAGTACCCTGTTCCCACTCCGCTGCACCTATCCTGCCTTTAACCCTGTAAAGAAGTCCCTCTGTAGCAACTGTTCCTCCTCTGTTCCATCCTCCAGCCTCTTCTCTGTCTCCAGCCTGCTCCCATTCGTTTGCAGACCTGCGATTTACTTGCAGTTGCTCCAGTAGCTTAAAACCAGAAAAAGCGAAAATTCTTTCCAACCAATACCATCCTGCCAGTATCCAACCGTGTGAACCTGCCTTCCGTGGTTCAGCATGAAGCCTCTACAGTCAGCCTGAAGCCTCTACTCAGCCTGAAGCCTCTACTCAGCCTGATGCCTCTACTCAGCCTGATGGCCTCTTAACTCAGCCTGAATGCCTTGCAATTCAGCCATGATGCCTCTACCCACAGGATGGAACTGATCCAGCCTGGACTGATCCCTATTAGGCCTGGTGGACCCCGATGCCCCGCGAGTCGCGCCAGACTATCCAATCAGACAGACCAATCGGTGCCCAGCAGTTCTCCCGCCAGTTGACTCAGATGCCCGCAGTTCTTGCCAGAACGACATCGGTGCCCGCATTCTTGCCCAGAAACTACTCGGTGCCGATGCAGTCCTTGCCAGGACGACCTCGGTGCCGCGCCAGTTCTTGCCATAAACGACTCGGTGCCCCGCTGTGTTCCGCCAATTGACTCGGTGGCCCGCAGTTCCTATGCCATACGACACGGCTGCCCGCAAGTCGTTGCCAGAGCTTGCCAGAAAAAAACGACCGTGCGGTTGCCGCTGTTATCCGCCAGTCTGACTCGATGCCCCCGCTGTTCCGCCAGACACGACTCCGGTTGCCCCGCAGTCCTTGCCAGATGTACTCGGAGCCCAAGCAGTCATGCCCAGAACGACCTCGGTGCCCCGCCGTCTTGGCTCAGGCGAACTCGGTGCCTCGCAGTCCTTGCCCAGAGAAGACTCGAAGCCCGCTGTTTTCCGCCAGTATGGCTCGGAGCCTCGCGCAGTCTTGGCCAGTTGACACTGTGCCTCACACCGTCTTCCCAGTTTGACTCGGAGCCCACTGTCGTGCTCTGTTGACTCCGTTCCCCCCGAGCGCTCCGCTGATGGCCCGAGACTGTCCTGACGCTCCGCCTGGGGGTTCCGGGCGCCCCTGCCGCTCCGCCTGGGGGTCCGGTGCCGCGCCCGCCGCTCCGCCTGGGGGCCTGAAGACCTGTCTCTCCGCCTGGGGAGCCCGTTGCCCTGTCCTGCCCCGCCTGGGGGTCCCTGATGGCCATGTCGCCCCGCCTGGGGGCCCGATGCCTGTCGCCCCGCCGGGGACCCGCCGATGCCTGTCGCCCCTCCTTGGGGCCTGGCGTACCGCCGCTCCCCCGTCTCCCGCTTGGGGCCGATGCCTGTCGCCCCGCCGGGGGGGCCTGATGCTGTCGCCCCGCCTGTGGGCCCGATGTCTGTCGCCCCCCGCCTGGGGGCCCGATGCCTGTCGCCCCGCCTGGGGGTCCGATGCCTGTCGCCATGCCTGGGGGGCCCAATGCCTGTCGCCCTTCCTGGGGGCCCGGTGCCCCGCCGCTCCGCTTGGGGGGCCCGATGCCTGTTGCACCTCCAGGGGGCCCGGCGCCCACGCGCTCCCGCTTGGGGCCCCGGCGCCCGCCGCTCCGCTTGGGGGCCCCTCCGCCCGGCGCCCGCCCGCTCCGCTTGGGGGCCCGATGCCTGTCGCCCCGCCGGGGGGGGGACCGGTGCCCGTCGCCCCACCTGGGGGCCCCGGTGCTGGCTGCTCCGCCTGGGGGCCCGGTGCCTGCTGCTCCGCCTGGGGGCCCGGTGCTTGCTGCTTCGCCTGGGGGCCCGGTGCCTGCTGCTCCGCCTGGTGGCCCGATGCCTGTTGTTGCTCCGCCCGGTGGCCCGGTGCTGCTGCTTCGCCTGGTAATCCGATGTGCCTCTGCCCGGAGTCCAGCCCGTTGTGCCTCTGCCCGGAGTCCAGCCCGATGTGCCTCTGCCCGGAGTCCAGCCCGATGTGCCTCTGCCCGGAGTGCCTCTGCCCGGAGTCCAGCCCGATGTGCCTCTGCCCGAGTCCAGCCCCGATGTGCCTCTGCCCCGGAGTCCAGCCCGATGTGCCTCTGCCCGGAGTCCAGCCCGATGTGCCTCTGCCCGGAGTGCCTCTGCCCGGAGTCCAGCCCGATGTGCCTCTGCCCGGGAGTCCAGCCCGATGTGCCTCTGCCCGGTGTGTGCCGCTGCCCGGAGTTCTGGCCCGTGTGCCAGTCTTTGATATCCCGCCAGTTACCAGGACCCGGCGGTGGAACATTTTGCCCAGCTAGGACTGTATTGGAGCGTCCCTGAGGCCGCTCCTTGAGGGGGGGGGGTACTGTCAGGAATGGACTGGCCAGCAATAGTGGGACTCACCTGCCTTATGAGCTGCAGTATCCCAGGGCTGGCCAGCGGGTGCTCCCAGCAATCAGAGACTCAACCTTGCAGCCAGTCAAACACCTGGAACTAATTATACTGGTGTATTTAAGGGACATTCAGACCTGCAGACTCTGCCTTGGTGTTGTTTCTCCTGGGGCCCTGTTCCTGTTCCCTGTTCCCTGTTCCCTGTTCCTGTCTGATTCTCTGCTGACCCTGCTCTGATCCCTGGCTTGTCTGACCATTCTCCTGCTCCTGATCCCTGGCTTGTCTGACCATTCTCCTCTGCCTGACCCCTCTGTACCACGCTGCCCGCTACCATGCCTGCTGAACCTTGCTTGTGACCCCGACCATTCTCCGCTTTGCTCCCCCTGTACCTGACCTGCCCGATTGATATTGACCCGGCCTGCCTGACGACGCTTGCATTGTATGTACTGTTATCTGTGGGTGGTTGGTTTGGTTTGTTTGCACTGCGTTTATGTTTTAGTATTGCAACTTACGTTTATGTTTGTATTGTTAGTGTTAATAAATTACCATTGTTTATAACATTATCCCCCTCTGAAGTCTGCGATTTTCCCTGCGTCAGTCACACACCTCTGGTCACACCCGGGATCCCTGACACAGTCACTGATCAGTGAACCAATTTTTTAACTGATCACTGTATCAGTGTCGCTGGCGACTTCCGATAGTGTTAGCGCCCCTCCCAGATAGTACCAGATTGCCCATCCAGTACACCAGTAATCCCGTTTAACCCCTTGATTCGCCCCCCCCCCCCCAGTTAACCCCTTCACTGTCCTGTCACCCAGTGTCACTGATCAGTGAACCAATCTTTACTGATCACTGTATCAGTGTCCGCTGGCGACTTCCGATAGTGTTAGCGCCCCTCCCAGATAGCGCCAGATTGCCCGCTAGTACACCAGTAATCCCATTTAACCCCTTAAATCTCCCCCTCCCCCCAGTCCTTTAACCCCCTTCGAACTGCCCTGTCACCAGTGTCACTGATCAGTGAACCAATTTTTTACTGATCACTGTATCAGTGTCGCTGGCGACTTACGATAGGTTAGCGCCCCTCCCAGATATAGCGCCTAAGATTGCCCGCTAGTACACCAGTAAGCCCATTTAACCCCTTAATCTCCCCCCCCCCCAGTTAACCCCTTCACTGCCCAGTCACCAGTGTCACTGATCAGTGAAGCGATTTTTACTGATCACTGTATCAGTGTCACTGGCGACTTCCGATAGTGTTAGCACCCCTCCCAGATAGCGCCAGATTGCCCCGCTAATACACCAATAATCCCTCTAACCCCTTGATCGCCCCCCCCCCCCCCCCCGAGTTGAGCCCCCTTCACTGCCCTGTCACCAGTGTCATTGATCAGTGAACAGATTTTTACTGATCACTGTATCAGTGTCGCTGGCGACTTCCGATAGTGTTAGCGCCCCTCCCAGATAGCGCCAGTTTGCCCGCTAGTGCATCAAGAAATCCCATTTAACCCCTTGATCGCCCCTCTCCCCCCCCCAGTGGTAACCCCTTCACTGTCCTGTCACCAGTGTCATTGATTACAGTGAACAGATTTTTTACTGATCACTGTATTAGTGTCACTGGTGACTTCCGATAGTGTTAGCGCCCCTCCTAGATAGCGCCAGTTTGCCCGCTAATGCAATGCACGGGATTTTTTTTACCAAAAACATGTAGCAGAATACATTTTGGCTTAAAATTTATGACTAACTTTGAGTTTTATGGATATTTTTTATAGCTTAAATTAGAAAACATTGGTTTTTTTGCAAAATGTTGCAGGTTTTTT